TGGATTCCTTCTCCCAAGGTGCAGCACCCTGCATTTATCTACGTTGAACCCCATCCTATTCTCATCTGCCCACTTTTGTAGTCTGTCTAAATCTAGTTGCAGCCTCTCTCTCCCTTCAAGTGTGGCCACCTCACCCCACATCTTAGTGTCATCAGCAAACTTGGACAGCGTGCTTTCCACCCCCTCGTCCAAGTCACTGATGAAGATGTTGAACAGTGTGGGCCTGAGGACCGAGCGCTGGGGGACCCCACTGCTCACATCTCACCAGGTTGAGTACAACCCGTCCACCACTACTCTCTGGGTGCGCCCCGTCAGCCAGTTTTTTACCCAATCCTCCATCCTAGAGCTGTGGTCAGGGACCCTTACATGCTACCACGACTGTAACTAAGGAGCAATAAACTAATTTCCTTTTAATTAGGCACGATGTGCTAGGACAGCATAGGCTGCAATCGTCGCCTCCTTTGTGTCCATTATGAATGTGCAAATCTAAAGTGTTCATCCTCCCCAAATGGATACGGTAGAGTGGTGAAAACTATTTTTGTGATGTTCTTTTTTCTTTCTACATGGAGAGAGAGAACAAGTTTGTGGATTTGCCCAAAGCCCATTGTGTCAGTAAGGAAAGCTTTTACAACTCGTGATGGTTATAAGTAGACACGATGAATGCAAAATAATTTGTAGCATAGAAAACCTTGTTACCTGTTGTTGTACGGGGATGGGACGGGGTTTAGAAAGGTAAGCAGAGCTGAGGGGTGTCGTGGAGGACCAAAGAATTCTCAATATCTACGTACAGATGGCAGAAACGTGTGGCAGCGCCGCTCCGCGTCTGCTCGCGGTGTACAGAATCCACCGGTGTAGTCTTCGGACAGTGTCGCGACCCCTGGGAGAAGGGGCCTCTAATGGTCCTGGAGAACGTGGCGCTTGGCAAAGGGGTAAAATATCACTCACTGATGCAGAGAAGTGAGTTGCTGAAAACCTGTTGCTGTGGAGCGATGGGTTAGACTTATGCTGGGTTTATTAGGTCAACAATAAAATATCAAAACCACAAGAGAATTTGGGGAAATAAGATCATACAGAAACATGAAGTCAGCAGAAGCTACAGTAAGAAATGACTGTAGTAAAATGTTCACATGGAGTTTAACATCCTGGTCTGTAGTGTAACCGCTGCTGCCAAAGAGAAAATATGACTTTCCTGGGTTTTTGGAAAGCTCCCAGTCCTGAACGCAGCGTTCTGCCGTCGGATACCGCACAATGGCTGCAGCTGCTTGTGGGGCCTCTGCCTTCAAACACTTCTTTATTAAGCAGGCAATTGCCACACGCTTTCTGTTTGTAGGTAGCGTGGATCAGCAACTTTGCTAACAGCTGCTTCTCTGTGAATCACAAGTATTGCATCTGCCTAGTAGTGTACTGTAAGTCTGAGTGCACACCGCTGTAGTTGTTGTATTCTCCCGAGGAGTGGCAATCCCATGTGTCCCTGAATCCAAGCACTCTCTTCGGCATCCCCTTGGCTATAATTAAGGGCAGTTTAGACTTTGGTATCTTGACTTTTTTTATTAAGAGGCTTGAAGGGGAAAGAGGTCTGCTATGATTTGTCAGAGTCCAGATAACTAGAAAACCAGGATGTAAAACAAGTGAGAAAGTGTCTGTTTGGGTAACCATTCTGGAAATGAAATGCCTCCTGTGGTGCTCAGGTATTTAATGATGAGATTTTACAGGCGAGAAGTAATTAAATTTGAGCTACATCTTTCGCTGAAGTCTGCAATTAATAAGTGGGCAGTCCCACTGTCTAAGGCTAAGTCACCTGAATTAGGCCCTCACATTCACAGATTCAAGCACCCAGCAACATGTTAACTTTAAGGGTAACTTCACATTTGCACAGTGGAACACTTAAATAAAAATAGATTATCTGTGCCCATAATTATCAAGATAAATTACAAAACAGAAACTTCAGCTAGCTGGAACTGGCTCGCTTCATAAAGCAAAATCACTGGAAACACTACTGCTAAATATAAAACGGAGAACGTCTCTTCATTATCCAACATCTAGTTTAAAGCATGAAAGTTCGGGATGCTCGAATCCGCAGGACACCATCCAGTACTCCACGGTGACGCTTGCTTTTTTTCAGTCCTCCCTCAGATAAGGCTCATCATCTCTGCTGCTTTCTGAGAGTTGCGATCCTTCCTCTCCCTTCATTTTAATGAGCTCCTCTGTTTGCACTTCGGCTAATTTGGTCTCTGCCTTCTGCGATAGCTGCCGTACCTCTTGCACATGTGTTTTCACCAGCTGAATGTGGTTGTAGGCTGTCACAGAAGCCAGATCTGCACCTGAAAGCACAGTAATCTAAGTGCGTCACTGCTGGAAGAGCTCTTGATACCACCCATTAAGACTGATTAGGTTGGAAATTGAATATCATGTGTTTACTAAACTGGATAATTTAAATGTTAAAATATTTGTTCCTCTCACTGTTGAGAGAAAAGCGGATGCGGTAAATGTCGTTTGCTTATCTTAGTTCATAGTGTGGTATTACTTGGACATTTCCCCCCTCATTCTCACCAAAGCTTATTTCTGACGAATGACGAGTCAGAACAGGACTTAAGCACCGTTTTCTGAGAAGTGAGGGAACCAAATGACCACAATTTTAATATCACATGTTGGCTATTTTTAAGCCCATCTGATCCGTTCCAACTTTAAGCCTGTAGGCTCGAGGTGCACAACTGCCCTAGGACAAAACATCCTCCCACTTTATCGGAACAGTCTAACATCCAAGACTATTTTAAAATGGCACGGAAACGTTCAGTTGTTTCACGGAGCAACCTAATCAGATGGGTGTCACATTGTGGGACGCGTTATTAAAAGCGCCAAGTGCTTTGGCCGAGATAACGTGCTCTGCGAAGAATCAGATCTAACAACACGCACGGCAGCGTGCACATCCTGAGTCGGTCACGACTGCGTTTTTTTCCCCCCGTATGCCAAAAACCGCCCATTTGACCCAACATGCAAGAGCGAACTATTGCGCCAGTACCGATCCCCAAATACCTGACTGATACGCAGCCTCCGCTGCCCTCTCTGAAAGCTGCAAGGCAGTCATCCAAAAGCCCTCCAGCTTCAGGCATT